TGGGTCAGTTATACGATTCATTTGAAAATTAGTATAAGACATATATATATATATATATATATATATATATATATATATATATATATATATAAGAGGAGAGCGATTTCAGGACAGCAAGCTTTTCAGTAGAATGAGCTACAAACCTGGTATCTGACATCTCGCTGTAAGACACACGCGTGTTAATCAAAGCAAAACTGTCTTCCCGTGCCAAAGAGCAATGCTAATGTTGATATAATGATCTAATTAGATGTCGTTCTTTGGTCAAAAAGGCGAGCAAACACATATCCGAGATGTTCACACCTGAATACAATGCACTAAAGGACAGCAGCTGATTCTTTGTACTACACCCAATGTGACCTACATACAGACTCTTTCTTAGTCTCGATTTATATGGATCTGTGGGGTGTCTAAATCATTGCCGAGTCATGACAGAAAGAATCTAAGTTTTCATTGCTAACTTCCTGCTCAAGCTTAGTGTTCTATCATTTTTCTTGGTAACTCCAAAGCGAAAGTAATTTCTACGTTTCCAACTCTGGTCACTACGATCTTTTTCCTTGAGTGAAGCCTGTCTGAACCAAGCAGAACCGCCAGTGTTTTCACTTTCCAGTTTATGGTGAAATAAAAACTAACATAATTTACTACTACATGAAATCTATTGACTGAAAAAATCGCGTTAACCACAACGATTTGCTAGCACCATAATGTCTCCCCATTCTTTCTACGAAGTTGATGAAACTGTGGGGAGGGTGGCACTGATGAAGCGGGAGATACCGCCGAAGCGTACGCATGCCACTAACATACCAACCTCAAGGAGGCTTTAAACATGCTCACAGACTGATATAATTTATTTTGTCTCTGCGACGAAGAATGAAAGTAAACATGTGTTAGTAAATTGCAAGACATTCTGCCAGACTGTATAACTGCAATCTATAAAGATCAAGATAATACTTTGCTGACAGAAAGTTTTCATTGATGAGTGGAAACAAGAAAAAAAAGTCAGTAGTTTAGCGAGCAATCGGTGAAAGTTGAAGAGAGCAACTGATTATTCTTCTTATGGCGTGAGGAGTTAAATTCATCATGTTGACATGGCTATGTAGACATATATAGCTGGGGCACTACAAAATAACTGCATTGTTGAGTGCAAATGAAGCGTCAAAATTAAACCCTTTTTGCACAAAAATCGGCTTGTCGAGGCTCAATCGAAGACTAACCATTTTCTTTGTGTTCTAGTAAGCTATCAGTTTTGCCTCCGACGTGCAAGTGCTTGATTCCATGAGAATACCGTCGTTACCAAGACGAAGATATTATATTTACGTCATTAGGTTTATTTTTGCTCTATTTCTCTGCATTCGCATTCTTCGTGCATGTTTCTAAAATAGCTGTAAATGATTCTGACACGGCGGCATCACCTTGTTGTTTTTTGAAATCTCAAATCTTCACTAGCACATTATGTCAAGACCATAAACTTCTCTGAGATCTCCAGTCCGTCTCAGGCAAATCTTGCAAAACATCATACGTGTATCATCCAATATCACGTTCTATACGAAATTTTGTTTCTTGGTTACACAGCTTTCGGATAGTCAACATTTGAAATACCGCGAATCGCAGGTACGATGCATCCTATGTAAATTTAGGGGGAAGTAAGCGATATAGAAATCAAAGTAGAACTCCGTAATCACTCTAACCCTCATCTGTAGGATATCTCTACTTCGTGACGAGAAAATCGCGTTGATTTTGCAACGCGAGCAGTGATGTACAACGCCCTTTTCAATCTATGTAACATCTACTTTTACATTAGCTGCTTTTTGCTCATGATCATGTTTTACCGATTTCTGTAGAGCCTTACTAAGTTAGGAGTGCGTTGGTGAGTGCACGTTGTACAAATTCATTTCCTTATGTAGCTTCGGAGGTTTCCGAAGCAGACTGTGCCATGTTGTTGCTGTTATCATAACACAAACATCGAATAAGCATATCATTTTCTGTATCATCGATTTGGGCAGCGGTATCTTCTCATAATTGTGCTAGAGGAAGAACAGATGCTACGTGGATTTTGTTTATTCTGAGTGGATGGTTTATCACTTAAAAATTCATGCAGGTAGTGAAATGTCATATGTAGTCAGAATCTATTATTCTTTGCCTATACTAAATCTAATCAGTATCTGCCATGATTTGAGCAAACAGATATCTACATAAGCAAACAATAAACATCCTAAATCGAATCCACTCCAACCCTAATCCCTAAGGGACGACGTGTACCAGCTGAAGTACACGATTGCTTGAGGGACTTTCTTTATAGCAAACATCCCAAGGGAGTTTTGCTATCATTTCGGGGACACATGATGATTTAGGCAACGTAGATGGTCCATGACCTTAGAGCGCAAGTGGTACCGCAGAGGTTTGAGGACCTTAGAGAGAAAATGGTCCAAGTGGCGAGGGCGGCACCCAGCTGCTACCAACATTAACAGGCAGTTCGATCGACGGGCATCATCCGAACGGTCGTCTGACATCACCCGGATCACCTATTATCTACTCATTATTGCTATCTCCACATAGTCTCGTTATCGTATAGCTAATTGCTATCATAAGGTTGAGCTCATACAATTGTCAGATGAACTCAATAGAATTGTGAGCGGAACATATCACTAACGTGGCGGAGCAAACTCACTTAGGCTATGCTCGGCCCAGCATCGCGGTTAAGGGATTCTGCCCACATATAATCAGTAGTGACCCCACTGCTAACACTATATACTCACCCACTGGATCCCACCGCCGATGCTTCTACTTGGGGGGGGGGGGGGGACGAACATAGCAATCCCAAACGGGCTCCGCCACCTAGTCATGCTCCGTTAATAACAACATTCATGGTATCGTCACACGACGATACATCTCATCAATTACGTACGTCCACTAATTCGCATTATCGTCACCAGACAAAACATCATATTCAACGACATATGTTCACATATCGATTTGACGCAACCGTTTGTATATTGTTCCTATGTTATTACAGTAAGATATGTATATTATAGGTTGTTTGGTATAACCCATATAGAACGTTTGAGGGTCAGGTCAGTGCGCAGCTAAGGACGATCTAACAATACTCAAATATCGATCGGGTCACTGCCTGAGACAAATCCAAGGACCACACAGCAAAAACCACTGAACCTCCACCACATTCTCGCAAGGTAATACTTTTGATTCAGACACTTGGCAATCATTCAAAAGCTTATATCTTTGCAAATTTAAGTATGACAGATTTTTGTAAAGAACTTTTTAGTACGTTATAATGGCGAGAATAAAATTATATTCCACACTCAATTTGCTCTATTTGCTCGACTGGGGCTTCGGTATGGTTCTTCACAATTGTCTTACAAGTCATTGCATAGCCTAAATCTCGGAATTTTGATGGTGTAAGTGGTTTTTTAAGAAGGCTGTCATAGAACGCCGTAAAGGGAAAAAGAAGATCAAATTGTAAACCTAAAATGTTAGCCCGTCACTTGGACGTTTGTAGTTGGTATGTTGGTAATTTCCGATAAATTTCATACGTCAGAGGTGTCTTTTCGTAACATAAAGAATGGAATATCACGAATGGACCTTTCACAAAAGTTTTTGGTGCAAAGACTACCCCTCTCGAAGATCTTTTTTGGCGGTGACACCCCGTCATTGTAAGAAAATAAACAAACTTTCAACCCGTTCTGTGCATTTGTATCGCCTGTCTTCCGCGAACGTGGCTTCATAGCACATGTTCTACAACTAAACATCTCTAATAAAGGCCTAAGCGAAAATGATTTTAATATGTAACTTGAGTAAGTGTAGGAAGAGCTTGCGTTCATCATCGCATACGAAACGCTTCCCCTATGAGCACCCATAATAGAAAAAAAAACATATTTTCCGTTCTTTCTAGGCATTTTAGTAATTATCAGATGGTAGATCTCAAGAAATCGCAAGGCGTATTCTATTTTTCAAAAGATCTTTAAATTAAGCTGTAACAGTGAAAAGAAATTGTTATTTCACACTCAAGTGTCTTTCGATAAGCGAAGCCTTTCCTTAAAAGTTCAACAAATATTCGATGGCACAAATTTCAGCAAACTCTACAGTATTTTTGGCTTTTCTAAGAAAAAATTCTTTATCGCTCTGCAACACTAAAATTAAAATTAACTTTAACATGCGGCGCGTATGTCTTCCACCTGCATATGAATGGATTTTACAACATTGGCATCAGCATCAGCCGTCGCCGTTCAATAAGCAGTTGGTAGCTCAAATCTTGGGGAATGATTTCCATAGTGTGTTTGTTTTTGGAAAAAAGTTTCTTCGTAATTTTGAGCAACAGGAATAAAACTATGCTGCTCATCCAAGCATTATACACTAGGCACGGCTTTTCTCCCAGGCTTCCACTTGCATTTCATAGCGCGAATTTCAACAGTCCGAAGGCATACTTAGTTATTGTGAAAGACTTCTAAGTACGTCTTTGCAACGAAAAGAATATTAAATTTAGCACTTGGCGCGCACCGCACGCCACGTGTCAATTACGCTTCGCGGTCGAAGCGGAGCCGAGTTTTAAACTCAATAATCTCTTAGCTGTGACAACGCTCTAAAACGCAATTCTCAAAAATTAGGCTTACCCTTGAGATTATTTTAATTTGTGCTAGTGAAGAGTCATTGAAAGTCCAAAAAAAAAACCTTCCTTCAGCAAAAGATGCTTGGCAGTAAAAAAGATTCTACTCCACCTTTGCAGTTTAGTATAAAAACCATTTGAAAAATAAAATAAAAGACACTTTTCAGATTCTCGAATTCAAGCTGTCGAACATTTGCTAAGACCCAAAAAGAGAATTAGAAAAAAAAACTTTTTTTGAATAGGGGTGCGGATAGGGAAAAATAGCGAGAATACTTCTTTGCAAACTGCATGGTGCCGGTGTTCCAAGCCTCTTATTCAAACATGGTTGTCTCTTACCGCTTACGCTTCGCTGTTTCAATAATGTGGAGTGGTGAGCAGAACAAATTCGCGTCAGTCGCGATTCGAACCCACATCTCACTCTTACCAGGAGCGTCTGCTAAACCGTTGCACCAACGACGCTCGTTTTGCACAGCACTCTTTTTACTACAACACGCTATCTGTCAACAGCCAACCGTCGACGGTCTGGTGAGGCAGCCGCTATCGGCATTGAACACACTTATGTTGACAGATAATGGGCATCAATAATCAATCAAAATTCATTTATTTGACCGCCGCTTGCGGTGGGTATGATGTTATAATATACCCAATAATGTGGAGCGATGTGCAAAACGAGCGCCGGTGGTGCAACGGTTCAACACACGCTCCCAGAGTGAGATCTGGTTTCGAATCCCGGCTGACGCAAATGTTTTTGCCCAGCACTCCACATTATTGGGTATATTATAGCGTCATGCCACCGCAAGCGGCGGTCAAATAAATCAATTTCGATCTTTCACTATCCATGAGAATTCACTTTTTCTCGTAAACACCTACTCTGAATAATTGGAAATAAACGAATTATTGATATAAACTTGGTTATAGTGATAGTGTTCGATGGACACGTATCGAATACAGCATGCATAATATATGTTGATAAATTACTAGCTGTTCTCCAATTTTTATTTACAATGATGACTCTTGGGTCATTGAACTAAGAAGAGCAAAACTGATGATTTTTCTTGTGACCCCCTTTGTACAATGCAACACTCTGCAGAAGACATGTACAACTTAACTAAAAGCGTATGAGTGAGCAAAGAAAATCTTGTTCTATCAAATTAATGCTAGAAATCCGGAATTTTTTGCGAAAGGAAGAAAATATCAATTAATCAAAGAAAACCACAAAAATCTCTTTGCGCGCATCGACTTCTATAGCCGTCCCTTGGGGCTTAACTCCAAAATGTAATCCCTTTATGAGTGCTAAAGTAAAGTAAGAAATTCTCTTCGGTAATAAAGGTGCTATGGAAATTGTCAAAATTTATATCATCAACAATCTGTTAAAAGTCTAGCGTAATAACTTTGTTTAGAAAAAAATGCTTGAGTGTGAAAAGAAAGATCGGTGAGCAGAACAGGCGCCACCAGTGCAACGAGTTAGAGCACGCTTTCCTAAATAGAGTGAGATGTGGGTTCGAGTCTCGTTGAGACAACCGTTTTGCATATCACTCTGCATCAAAGGGTATATTTTAATCGTCACACCACTGGTAGAAGTGGTGTGATAAAAGTGGAAATATATTTGATGATCAGACATCCACTGTCTGCCAGCGTGACTGTTTCCAATGTCGATAAGCTACTACCTGGGCCAGGCCGTTGAGGGCTGGTAGCTGACAGGGAGATGCGTTGTAACGCAGTAAGAGTGGTGACAAAGGCGGGAGTCAGTAATGCAACGGCTTAAAGCGCTCCTACCCAAACAGAGTAAGATGTGGGTTCGAGTCCCGCTTTACGTAAAAATTTCGCTCAGACATTCGACATCAGTGGGTATATTTGAAGCATCATACCACTGCTGGAAACGGTTAATTGGAAAAAAAAAACATGTATGATCGATCATCTAAATACGCTTTTATTTCTACTTTTCAAGCACATTTAGGTAGCTATTTCAAAATAAGGTACTTCATCAAAATTGTCGAAATTCAATTATCACACGGTTATTTAAAATGCTAAAAAGATTGAAAATCACGTTCTCCAGGAGATCAAAATAGGATGAGACATCGGAAGTGATCCAAATTTGCAAAACCTAATATTCTTTTAACAGTTACAGCGTTTCTTGAATAAAAGCAAGCACACCGTTGAAATTGCTAGCAATCGCCCTATCTAGTATTTATTAGCTGGTCATTAAAAAAAACTTTATAGGGTGAAAAATACTCGAATGTCAAGAAAAAAAAACCCCTTTTTGGCTGTTACAGCAGAGAAAATGAGCCATTAAGGAAACAAAATACATTGTTCAAATTCACTTGATATCGAATATCGAATGATTGCTGTAAAGTGCTACGAAATTAAAAAATCCGTTCAACGAAAGGGCTCAATCAGAATGAGGAAGACGGAAAAGAACCGCTTTGTTTCTATCCCTTCTTCACACGCCATAGCTGTGAATAAGTATTTTGAATGGTATTACCCACTGTTCTAAAAAATGTGAATCTCAAATGAAACAATAATCAAAAAAGCATTAAGAATTATATAGTTGCGATAAAGTGGAACCGCATGCAATAAGCTGTATTGCTCTTGACGGAAAACTTATTGTGTTCTAATTTCCAATGTAATTTATGCAATATAGTGTATGACAACTGAAGGAAATAAAAGGTAAATTTGGCTGAAGTGTGGTTATGCATGGATTAAATATTACAGAGATGATCGATGAAGGTTTTAAATGCATGCTTAATCATAAGTGTTTGGTTTTTCTCTTAGAAAGTGTGGATTGCATATGGAGCAATGACGCGATTTCTAATAAAAACAACTTTACTGAAGTGTATTTCACCATATTTGACCAATTGCTGATACAGAATTCCTAATTACTGAGGAGCAATGTCCGTTGTGAAGCACAAACATTGGGCTGATTCTATTGGGAACAAAACGTAAAGTTTTACTTGTTAGTAGGGAATGCTATAAAAATCTTTGTTTTGAAATTATCTAGATTTGAACTATCGTATGGCTGCCAAAGTTCAGCGAGAAGCTCTGGTATTTCAAACCTAAGCCATTGATGGCCCCAATCACCAGCCCGATACTCATTCCCAACTCAGCGATATTAATTAGTGTGCTTTGTTGTCATTCCTCTACATTACTGTCTTTAAAAACTATTGCTTACTGAAGGTATGTCTTCTTTATCTTTGCAGTTACTGAAGCCCTTCTCCTCGCTACACGTAGCAAGCACTCTAGTCGGGCATGTAATCCCTTGTTCACATAAAGTGGTGAGGGCTTGCTTTTGTCAGCTAAAGCATGGATAAAGGATAAATTTTTGGCTTTGACCAAAATCTCAGAGATATGCCACACATTCGTCTTCAGCATATCATTTTTTTGAGTTGATCGAGTATATATTTGGCCTCTACATTGACTTACGCTGGCCTCTCGTCATATCGAGTCAGTGCTGCTTATCCTCCCATACAAGTTTGAGACCAGTATGGCACTAATTTAAAATTCGCGTAGGAACGGAAGATTTGGTAAGCCATGAGCGCGCTATCGTACTGTCGACCTTGTGTGCGGACGCAGAGCACCTCTGACCACTGCCCCACACGCGCTTATCAAAGCCACGATGAGCTCATTAGGGCATATGGTGCCTGCCTTCAATTCGTGACCTGCTTAGCTGAAGCCCATGCAACAATGTCCCTTTGCAAATGCTGCTTCCTCCACTGGTTGTGAATCATTCAAAATGTTGGGTATGAGCAAAAGGATTTTTGAGAATCTTGAGGGTGCACTCAACAAGTAATTCAAACGGTACTTAAAAATTTCTCCTGTCGTCCTTTTCAGGGAAGGTAGTTGTGCGCTAAGCCATTCACTAACCTGCAATTTTTGTTCACTGAAGCTGTGATGCCTTCTGCTTTGCGAGGAATAGATGTAGATTGTATCACCACGTTGAAACATCAGTGGGTCACCTCACGTGACTGTGAAAGCCACATATGCAATCAAACACATCAAAAAGCGCTAAGCTTCAGAGATGCAAGCATGGCGCATCCTTAAGAAATGATTAACGCTGAGAGCTTTGTTTGAAGGTTTAAACTACAGAGTATGATATAAAGTACTTTCACATGGGTGATGCGATACGAGTAAAGCTCAAAACTGCTGGTTTTCATTGCTGTGGACGTGAGCAGCTTCTGCATTTTTCAAAAACAGAGAGAATTAGCGCATCATCATTGCTTTGTCTTTCTTTCAGCCTTATTTTGCTCTATCCAGCTATGTTGTTCTCTTGCGGTGATCTTGAGACTTTGCTCGAAAAGTTCTCAAAGCATTCTTGACAATTTTTATTACTTATCCCGCTTCACCGGCTCGAGGTTGACAATACTAGTTGTAAGAGCAGTAGTAATAATAGCAGCACGTTAGTTAACTATTGATGCTGCTGGTGCAACTATCGTTATCCTTGTGTAGGCTAAGCAAGATGGATCTTTGTGAGTTACATATCTGATATACTACTTTTTAAGATAGGAGCTTGTGGTCGCGTGACTAATGATGCGTGTCTCGCTTTAAATCCGATTGATTTTAGACACTTTGTCACTCTTTGGCAATTGATAAGGATGGACCTGCGGAAGATTACAGCTTCACTATCTTCTAGATCACAAGAAGATGCGCTCGACCAATGTCTTATGGACGTTATGAAAAGAGAAATCGTCAATCGATCGATGAATGTGAGAAACAAACTAATTGACATTAGTGCTAGATCCGTACAGTAAAAAAACTGTGGCGCGAGTTATACGAAGTAGTTCAAAAGTGCTAGGGTCTAGGAAAAGTCGATGTTTTGAATTATGGACAACACCTATAAATCCAAAAACGGGTTATGTGATCACGAAAGACGTCGTATCACACTTTGAAAGAAATTTCTCAACTAAACGAGAAATATCCCGATTTTTAGAAAATTCTGTGTTGCTGATTTCCAATGATAACTTCAAGACATTTGGAGAACATAGCGGTAAGTGTTTTGAAAAAGTTCCAGTACGAACGAAAACAGATGTAGAAATCACATTTCCATGCTCTACAAAACGAGTAAGCGTCTATGCTCTAGACAATATTATTGTTATATCAATCATTCTACTAACGAACTGCGCTTTTGTAACATGAAAAGAGTAATTTGTTCAATCAATCGTGAGGTACATTGGAAGTTACTTTTGGGTAGAACATAGCATCTCTTCCTCTCAGCTCGATGCCTGCTTCTCGAGTTTTAAATTTTATGCTTAACGAAAATATGAACTGTTTTACTGTGACAACCCCTCCAGCTTTTTGAAAACTACTCAGTGCTCAATTTATTGGAAAAAATTATGACGATATCAAGACTTCTCAACAATGTGTTGTGGAACATGTCTAGCGTCCTAACCACTGAAAGAAATAACACAAAATTCACATGGAAGACTCTATGGAATGCGTGACGCTTGAGGCGGCCATTCGCAAAAC